GGGGCGTCTGCACAGATTAGACGACTGGAGAAATTTAAGAAGGGGCTCAACAACAAACAATATTATAATCGTCATGTTAAAAACAACCAACCGAACCAACCGCTGTTGTGTGTGCGCGAAACTCCTCCCTCCTCCTCCTCCTCCTCCCTTCACCGCCCTTCGTTTATTGAGTCATTAGGGCGCTTTGCTGTTCGCGGGGAGGGGGCGTATAATTGCCCATTACAGCGCCGGCCCGGGTGCCCGCTGCTCCCCCTTTCCCCCGCGAGACGTATGTCTGTTTCCCTCCCACGCGGTTGCCAATGGCAACGGAACCTCTCCTCTTGCCTCCCGAACGCCGCAGTCGCCGCCGCCGCCGCGCCCGTCCCTTCCCTTCCCGTGCACTCGCACATCCGGCCAAGCGGCTCTCCCGAGGCGGAAAAGCGGAAGCGACGTCAGAATTCAAGACCGGAAGCAGCCGGGGGGCCCCCGTGTGTGTGGGAATGTCGCACTGGACATTGTCTGGAGCGACTTTCTGGAGAAGATGCCGCGTGGGAGTGAGATAGTGGGAGCAGCAGGGCGTCAGCATTGTCGCGGATCAGGAGAACAATGGGAACTGTACATACGAGGTTGATAGCGGTCAATTATGCCAAAACACCCGTTTGTTCAAATGTTTCATCTGCGTAAAGTGGCCAAAACTTGGATTTTGAAATTTGTCTGACTCGTTTCTAATCCATAATTCTCGTTCCTGCCCACACAGATCCTAGGTGTTGGTCGCGTTCCGACGTCGCCGCCTGGCTCCACTACATGGCCATGGTGCACCACCTGCCCTGTGTGCCCATCGACCGCTTCCTCATGAACGGCAAGGCCCTGTGCCTCATGTCCATGGACATGTTCCTCGGGAGGGTGCCCCTCGGCGGCAAGCTCCTCTACAAGGACTTCCAGATCCGGCTGGGACGCGCCATGTACAACAGTTGAACAGACATTACGAGTGTACGAGAGTGTGTAAATCTGCGTGTGCGTGAATGAGTGTATGTGTTTTAAAGAATAAGAGTTTGTATGTCCAATAATATTGAGTGATATATATATAATACGTACAAGCACTGTGTTGAGGTAGCACCAGGACTGTGAAATCGACTATATTGTTGCAGAATTAGAGTTCAGGATATTTTTTGTAAGCACTCCTCACAATAGTTCATTCGTTTTTAAGGGTCTGAGTGGTGCTAAATTTTTCGGTGCTTTCTTCACAGTGCATTTCTGATTCGTGATACTTCTATGCCACTCGGCAACCACAATTGAAACTTTGCGAGAGTTAGTTTATTTTTGTAACTGTGGATGTGGTTTCATGTGATATGTATAGAAATCAACTTATACATTGTAGAACAGTTGACTAAAATATGTATTTTAAGACGTTTAGATAGATTTGTGTATTTTTGTACTATATATCTGTAGAGAGCAATCCAATCTTAAATTATTTTTAGTACCAGGATTTGATGCACTGGCAGCTAAGGTACATACATATCAGTATAGTATTGTGAAACTCCCTTTGATATCAGCCATGAAAAAAATTTTGGCTGAAAAGGAAGAATCATTGTGTAGAGGGCATAAGCCCGTGTGTTTCAGGTGTGCATCTAGTCATTAATTGATACATTATAATATCAAGTTCTCAGTTTTATGGGTGGAAAATTAGGAGGTTCTCTAAAATATGGGGAGTATGATGATGTAAGAATATTCTTCTCCAAGTGTCCTGTTATAACTGTATCAAGTGAACCTGAGTGACATTTCTTGTTCACTGTGCTCAAACTGTATGTTAGTTGCATTATGTGTGACTTAATTGTAGAGATTTAGAAAAAAGGAGTAATTTATTAATTCTCTGCCTTCTTGTTGTATAAATTGTTTTCAGTATTTATGAGTTATTTAACGTACATGATCAAATACGCATCTGTATATATTTTTTCTAGTCAATACATGAAAGATGAAAGAAAACATTCGAGTACTTTTGAATTACCCTAAAAACAGATTGACGGTCACTTTGCCCGACGAGATTTAAGGACACGTACCGTTTTATGGTGTGTTAAAAATACGGACTAATTAAAATATATTTTAAATGCTCAAAAATATGATACCGTCACAAATTCCCTAACGTTCTCAAAACCACAATGTGCAGCTGGCTGGACAGTCATTAAATGAACGTGACATCAGATATGCGTCGAAATGACCTCACTTGCATATACCGCCATGACTTGACACTCGTCTCTCACGCTCCTCACGCCACGACGGAGTGATGCGATGGGCACCAATGCACTCGACCTGCTCGGAGCGCCAGCCAGCGGCTTCCAAGGTAGCTACAGTAGAGAGACGACGCCCGTCCACCAGCCTGGTACCGCAAAAACGACAACGCATTGAGTGCACTTCAATGCGCTTTGGAAAGGCACGTTAAAAAGTGACACAGTGGTGGTAACGCCGCGCACTTAATGCGCATAAAATGCTTCGATGCATTTTAAAAGCGTCACCAATGTGTCACATTCTATGCGCCGGCGCGCGGCTCCCAGCGTGAGGTGCTGCTCCTTGGCGCCGTGGAGGTAGGCCGCCCATCGCACACCCGAGCTCCACGGGTCACGAACGAGCTCACACCGCACACGTAGAGATGCATATCGAATGAGAAATATCGATTTATTCGGTATCGATAGTATCGGGACCTTCCGATATGGAGGATCGATATATCGGAAAAAAGTATCGATATTTCGATATTATCATATGATATTAGAAAAAATTAAAGGAATTGTAAAAGAACGTTTATTTCTTGCTTAACGTTAAAATCTCTTTGGTTAACAATATCTCTGAACAAAACGCAGTCTTAAATTAGAATCAAAAACCTTAAGGACGAGACAAAGGAACCACAAATTAGCAATCAGTCACAAACAAAATAGAATTAGACACTCCAAGTAAGAATAGTCTATAAATAAGAATCACAAACCTTAAGGACGAGACAAATAAGGAACCACAAATTAGCAATCAGGCAACAAACCAAATAGAATCAGACACTCTAAGTAAGAAAAGTCTATGCTGCAGATGAGCTGGTGTGAGGCGGTTAGTCTTGTCAGTCACGATGTTGCCTGCATCCGAAAACATACGCTCGGAGGGAACAGACGTTGCCACCAAACTCAAGAAGACACGTGCAATCTTGTACAAATTCGGGTATTCGTGACGAATGCCTTCCCAAACTTCAAGAGGGTTGGCGGTCCTTGGAGATGGGGCTCGTTCCAGGAATGCTCGCAGCTCGGTGCGGGCCTTCCCTCCGATGTCGTCAGTTGTCAGGTTAACGAAGTCCCGCGCAACCCTTTCGTCATGCTCGTCCCATAGAGAGCGGGGACCAGTTGAGCTTGCCTGTAAAAAAGAGCACATACAGATTTACGAATTCTAGAAACTGAACAAGTATAAGTAAGTATAAGCTGCGCGGTACACTCACCTCACCCTCGCGAGGCTCAGTTCTGATTGGAACTCTAGCTGAGAGCTCTGCCTCTGCAGCATTAGCGCTTTCTCTAATGTGCTTTTTCATCATCTCTTCAATGTGCCCTCTGGCCCTGGCAACACCAGTAATATCTTGAAAATATGAACGCTGGAAGCGCGGGTCTACCAATGTTGCAATGGCAAGAGGCATAACTTGTTCAATTTTGTCAAACCGACGGTCGAATTCAGCGCAAACAAATTTGTAAAAGCGAGTAGCTAAGTCATCAGACCGTGGAATGGTCATTTTCTCCAGCTCCTGAAAGAAATTGAAGATTTAACAATTGATAAAGGCCCCCCCCCACCCTCTTATTGATTTATTTAATTAAGTAAGAATAGTTTACCTTTCTGATTATGAAGACCAATGGAATGACCTTGCTCGCGGTGGTGGTCTTATCCGCCGACATTTCTTTGGTCACAAAGTGGAAGGGCGCAAGAATAGACATCAGGATCTCGAGCGTGGCTAGCTCTGCCGCGGTCAGCATAGTTACATCGCTGGGAAACTTCAAGGCAGCTACTGCAATAACTTCTCTCATCTCCAGAAAACGCTCCAACATTAGGTAGGTTGAGCCCCACCGGGTCGGTACATCTTGAAGTAGGGACAGCGCCGTACCTTGGGTCTTCCCTTTCCCTATTTGTATCTTAGTAAGTTCGTTTTTGAAATTGTAGCTTCTGTGAGAGAATGTCACTATTTTCTTGACTTTGGCAACAAGCTCTGAGGCTCCAGCCACATGAGGGACCTGTTTCTTGTCTACTATTTTGAATCCCAAAGCTGCTTTAGGGATGAGATTGAGAGTATGGTCAAAGCATCCTAAGTGCTTATCAGCCCCAAATACGCGTCTAACACTATCCACAATATTGGCAGCATTATCCGTGATTACCAAGCTGACTCTACTGGTTTCTAGACCCCACTCTTCCAACACCTTCTCAAATTGTCCAGATAAGTATTGGCTGTCATGGGCTTCCTGAAGGGACCTCACCCCCAAAACCGCACACTCCAGTTCTGTGTCAATCGGAAAATGGGCCGTCACTCCAAGGAAGCTCGTCGTGTTGTGACTCTCGGTCCAGCAGTCGGCCGTCAAACACACGGCCGGAACCTTGGAAAGGGCATCCTTGACTAGAGCAGAGAGCGACTCGTACTTTTTCTCCATCATGTTGGTCGTCTTGTTGCGCCCAGGGGGTTTCCAAAGAGGCACGGCTTTCTTGGCGAAAGCCTGGAAGCCTTTCTTCTCTCCGGTTCTCAGAGGCATGCCATCTTTCATTACCATGTAGAGATATGAGTCATCGAGTTCCACCGCCCGAGGTCCACCCTCTGAAAAAACGAAAAAACGCGAGAATTAGAAATGGGGCGGCGCCGGCTGGCAACCCGCACTGCGTGCACGTTGTTACCGTACCTTTGTAGGACTCAGCTCGATGGAGTGATTCATGCAGCGTCGGTTGTTTGGGCGGAGAGGTGAATAGCGCCCTCCCTGATTTCCTCTTCCCTAGTAGTGAAGTGGGCGTTGTTTTTGCTGTGCCGCTTGCACTTCCACTACCAGACGGCTGCGGATGAGCTCCCTACAATGAAAAAATACAGTTGCTAAAAAAACTGCTTATTAAAATCAGCGCCGATTCCAGATCCGTTTCTCAGTATGGGCTGTGCGCGACAGGCCCCGTAGCGCCCCATTGGCAGTTAAAATTAAATGGCAATAAAATGCGCATAGAAGGTAAAACATTTCATCCGCATTTAACGCGAATACACGCCTTGAATGCGCATTTGTTACGCCCTAAAAGTTTCACCTTTTAGGCGCATTTTAATGCGCCTTGTGCATTCAATAATGTACATTCAAAGGTGCATTGGCGCTACGAGGGAGCTCTAAAAACTACGAGCAGGTTAAGGTTACCTCGGGCACGACAGGCGAATTCTCAAAAATTGCGTCCTCGTCGTCTTCATCTTCAGCGTCAGCTCTTCGAGCAGTGGATGTGGACGTGCTGCCCGATTTCTTAGGACGGAAGATATCATGCTTCTCGAGATGTTTCCATGCATTGGTGGTGTTCGACGAAGTTTTAATCGAGTGATTACACTTTCGGCATACAGCCGTGCCATCTGCTTGCTTGTCATAATGTTTCCAGACATCACTTCTGCCTGGAGCCATGGTTCACTAATGTCGTTTGATACACAATTCACAACATCAAGAATAACCGACAATAACAACTCTGTGCAAGTCAAAACAGGTGCTCGGGCGCGCTACACACACATCACTGCCTTCTAGAAGGCTTCCCAAACAATTGGCCGCTTTCGAGTGAATTACCAACGCCTAAGCACAGCAACCTATAATGTTTACTCGACATTATATTCGCCCTGATCGGTGAAATTTTGTTTCGATAGTTTATTTTTCTTCGCATAATGCATTTTCAGTCTGACAAACTAATACTACGAACTTAATTTAAGTGTTTCGTTGAGTGTGACAGAGTGCTGAAGTTGGCAGTCTTGAAAAGTGGAAGAGGTGGGGGGTGCGCACGCGCAGCAGCGACAGCGAGCGTAGGGTAGGGTGTCGGCTCCGCGGCTCCGCGGCTGCGTCTCAACTCGAGTCGACCACTTCACGCCAGTTGGCAAAGTTCAGGTCATGCTGCAGAGTAATCTTGGAGTTTGCAGCTCTATTCCAAGCGGTTTCTCCTAGTATCGATATCGGGCCGAAAAGTATCGATTCTGACCATATCGAAAAGCTGGACCATCGATACTTTTTTATCGATATATCGGTAAAAAGTATCGATATTTCGATACTTGGTATCGATATCGGGCATCTCTAAACGGAGCGAGCCGCACGAGAGCGGAGAGGTTAGGACACCGTGCTGACACCTCCCGAGACAAACAAGTAGGTAAGCAACTGCCGGCAGCTTCAGACGCGCAATGTACTATCCGTCGGTAATTGAGGAATCTATATTATTAATTTACACCTTATAAACGTTGCCAGCCGTCTCCAGGAGAAAGAGTGCGCGGTAGAAGCGGAGCGGACGAGGAGTCCCCCACTTCCAAAATAAGTTGGCGAGTTGACGAGTTGCCGCGAGTTGGGATCATTTTTTTGGGGGGGGTGCGCTATTTTTCGCAGATTTAGCGCGAGTTTTTGCAAACTTCCGGAGTTTTTGCGAGTTTGACGCGAGTTTATCGCGAGTTGGCTAGTGGTGGGGGAGCCGTCGGGAGGGGAGCTGTAACTTCTCCAGCCGCCGCGGCGCTACCCCGTGCCGCGGCGACACTCCCTGCGGCGGAGCTACCCCGGGCTGACCCTCTGTGCACTGCAGCTCCGCCCGCGATCACCAGCCTGGCCATGGAGTGCGACACCTGCACCGAGCACCTGGACAACACCGAGCGGCTGCCCGACAGCAGGTGCCCGTCGTGCCACCAGGTGAGTGTTTTATTAGGGGTTCACTGTTATCCCATGGATTTCGACACATGGAGAAAATAATCTCACAGCTAATTCTTCTTTATAATAATCAGAAGTACTATTAGCTGACAAGCTCTGCTAAGTGCGCGCGTTGCCTACCTGCAGATCCATTAGAGGCAAGGTGGAACTTCTTGACAGTCAATGAGGTAACGTTGACGTATATCTTGTGCCTCTCTTAACAAGTTTCTGATCCTGTGACTCCTCCCCCCATCAACCTCTTGCACCACTTCCTCATCACACACATCATCCAGGACATGATCATCACCCGCATCCTCAAGTTCCTCTTCCTCTGGCACTGGGTCTGGGTCTGAAAGGCGAGCTTTCACACAAATGTTGTGTAGGACGCAGCAAGCATTTACCATTTTAGACACTTTCAAATGATGATAATCAAGGGCCCGTATTTTTGAGAGACATAAGAATCTTCCTTTTAAGATCCTAATGCAGCGCACAACAGCGTTCCTTGCTGAACAATGCTTCTCTGTGTAGACCCTTTCTTTTGAACCTTCTGCAGCGTCAGGAATTGGAGTGTGAAGCCAGGGTTCCTCAGGATAGCCAGAGTCTCCTGTTAAATAAAATAAATTTAAATTAAATTAGAACAAAAACATGTTTTGCATTGCTGCAGTCAGTACATACATACATATTTCCCAAGTCACTCACCTAACAGCCAGCAGGATTCTCCTCTTCCTTCATTGTAAATAGCTACCATCCTTTCACGAATACTGCAGCCAGCCCAAATGTAAGCGTCATCAGTACATCCAGGAAATTGAGCAACGACATTTAGGATGACGAGATCAGTGTCACAGGTCTGTGAAAAATTAAGTGCTAGTAGTTAAAAGAGAAACATTCATTGTAAATAACCAATTCAGAATCAAAGAACCATAATTATTGAATCACTCACAATTTGCACATTTATGGAATGGTAACCCTTTCTGTTTACAAATATATCCTCTCTCTCAGTCGGTCTCTTTATGGGAATGTGAGTCCCGTCAACATACCCAATAACACATTTTAAATCTGAAGCCAGGGAGTTTCTGGAAATGAAATAATACATTTTATATAAGGCATAACAGGGGAACGTCAACTAGACCAAGCGAAAAATAATGGTACATACTTGTGGATGACTAGCCTCCTCTCATTGTACTCTCTTGGAAATCTAATGTGAGCTTGGAGTATGTCAAGTCTATTCATCACATTCACAACTTCATCAATAGCGCGGCTCACAGATGGTTGAGACATGGCCAGGTCATAGTTCCTTTCATTTGGTTTTTGAAAATTACCATTGGCAAAGAAATGCAGTGCACACAGGACCTTAAAAAGAAGTGACAATAAATTTACCAATATTTTATTTTTATAAAACACATTCTGAGGCAAACTAAGACTTACTTTTAAGTATACGGGTATTGCAGATGCTCTCTGAGGTTGGTGCATGTAGGGCTCTAAACTATCTATCAGCTCCCTGGCTAATACTTTTGGAAGACGATAATACTGACAAAATTCAGTCTCAGTGACTGCAAATGGATCCAACATGTCCCTTAGCTGAGCCTTCTCAATGCGAGATAGGTTGATTTGAATTCTACGTCTCCTTTCACGAGCTCGCCGTATCATGATTCGTAAGATAAGGTGATCCATTGTGTGCCTCACCTACAGGAAGGATAGCACATAATTAGGCCAAATAAAAATGAATAGAACATTATACACAAACAAGGAGAGCAAACATCAACAGGCATTGAGAGGTACTTGAAAGCTTGTTTCACCATTTACAGGGTCAGCAGCTGTATGTATGTTCAGAGATGCACATACAAAATTTGATAATGATTACATTACCTTAATTTTAGATTGATAATATGAAATTAACGTTTTCTGTACGACAGTGACATAAACTTAACCTAGCTGTACAAAAAACTCAAGGTGCTGCATTGGAAACCCTTCCTATCAAGGAGCAGTATGTAGTGCTATGGTGTTCCTTCCAAATTTAATATTTGCTCAAATTGTTTCGTTAAAGATACAAAAATCACTTACCTAGATGTTTATGCCAGTTGTTTACGATTCGAAACCTTGGGCCCAGAGCAGTCGCCCCACGGAACCGTTTCGGAAAGGTTCCGATCCGATCGCAGGGCTTCTTGAATACGGACGCGGTCGGATTCGGAAAGACGCTCGGACTCGGAGTCGTCAGAACTCCCCCTCCCTCGGGTGGGGCTGACCTCAAAACGCGTGGTTCGCTCGAACAGTTTATTGGCAGGACTGCATTTCTGTATCCCAGTCCCAGCATTAGGTTTACAGCCTGCGCAGCTCACTTCCTCACTTCGAGATCGCGGGTTGTTCCTCTTTCTCTCTCGCACCACCAGCTTTCTAATGGAACTAGCCCTCTAATGGAAAAGGAGACAGAGACAGCCACCCGCTATCTCCTAGAATGCTCGAAGCGAAGTGCGACGACCCTGGTTTACAGGAGGGCTGCCAAAGGAGGGATGTCAACAGGAGAGGCGCCATGGTCTGTGGCGATAAAGAACTGTTCACGTCCCGTTTGCTTCCCTACTACCCCGGTATGGTCTGTCTGTATGGTTGTACAGGATCGAAGCGGAGCACGGGACCCACCACCTGCAGCTGCTCCGGCACCACCTGCAGCTCCCAATGACGGCCGAGACCCCCAACCAGCTGCCGATGCGCAGGCGCGGCCCCCGCGCGAGATGGAAATGACGTGGTACATCGGCAACAGTCCCGACGACGAGCAGCAACGGAAGGCCGCCGCCCTGCGGGACGCGCCAGGGGTGAGTGAGTGAGAGAGTGGGCGCCGCCGGACCTCGAGCCTCGCGGATCAGCAGGGAAGCGGCCGCGTTCACAGAGAAGCTCATCCGGCTGTTATCGGCCACTCTAATCGACTCTGTTCTGCCGCAGGTGAGGCGGCTGGTTGGAGTGCGGTGTGACAGGGACCCCGCCTGGAGCCTCCAGCTGCTGCAGCGCGCCGCGCCCTCGGTGGAGCAGCTGAGTGTGTACGGCCCCCGCGAGGCCCACCTGCGCGCGGTGCACGCCATGCCGCGGCTAACGAGGCTGCTCCTGTCGTGTCATGATGCTGCCCTGGCCGCCCAGCCCCCCGAGCTGCCCGCGCTGCCGACGGGACACAGCCGCCTGCAGTGGCTCAGGGTGTGGGACTTCCCCCGCGCCGGCGCCACACTGCTGCAGTCCCTGCTGCGGGCGCACGGCCACTCGCTCGAGTTCCTGCAGCTGCAGGTGGGCACGGCGGGCGACAAGGAGTGGCCAGAGAGCTGCGGGGACCTGCACTCGCTGCTCGAGCCGTGCGGCCTGCGCGCGCTGCGGAGGCTCGTGCTGCAGAGGGGCGCAAGAAGGTTCACTCACGGGCCGGCCCCGTGCGGCCAGCAGCGCGCCCAGGTGCGGCGGGTGCTGCCCGGGGCCGAGGTGCTATGCATCGAGTGTGACGACGTGGAATGGGACGACTTGTAGGGGCGGCGAGCTGCGAGTAGCGGGCGCGCCACCGCCGCCCCGGGACCCCGCGTGGTAGAGAGGACTCTGGGCACAACAACCTCCCAAGATTGAAACTAAAGACGAGTTCTAGTCGTACAATTATTATAATTTTATATTATCGAAGGAGATTTCAAGTAAAATACGTGCCTTCTACTACGTTATTTACTCCATCATTTCCAGCGGCACACCTGTTCAACGATTTGTAGAAGGGAAGTTCAAAACGCACACTCTGAGTGGCGTGAGACGGTATTAAAACCGATTAAAACTTTAGATTAAGTAACACACGGTTAACACAGCTGTGTCTAGACACACCAACCAAACGTGCACCGGACATCCGTACTAATTACTAAAGATACCTTTGTGAAGGTGTTGCCACAAATGAACGTTTCACGGGGAGACATGTCGCGACATCAATGACAGCGCCTGCGGCGCGCTGGGTAGGCCAGCCCGCCGAGCAGCTCAGTCAGTTGATTGATTACTGATACACTCCTAGCGGAAAAGCTACAGCCCGCCGTCAGCGAAACCTTATTTGGTTTTCTTACTTCCGTTCTGAACGGTTCTGAATATAGACTGTCCGTGGAAAGAAACTGACAATTTATCTAATTATAACCCTCAGAAAATATACAGGGTGGTCCACAGACCCCTTCCTTTATTTTGCTTATATTGTACCGCATGCAGGCGTGCGGGTGGGCTTGCCTACCGTTGTTCACCGCGGCGCCTTATGGCCCCGTGCGAGTATGCAACACGCCCGCACGCCCGCATCCGATACAGTGTAAGCAAAATAAAGGAAGGGGTCTGTGGACCCCCCCGGTAAAACGCAAATCAAATCACTGATGACCAAACAGCGGGACGCATCAAACTTTTTTTTTAAATCACTCCTCGGAAGAAGCCTATGAGAGAACGGTGATGCGAGTGATGCTAATCAAATAATAACAAACGAAATAAAACCACGAATTTAATGGCGTCACACATAGGCAAGACATTCATGGTCGTCGAGACATTTTGGGCCCTCACTCACGCGTACATGGGGTTCGGGGTTGGGGTTCGCTGTCGCTGCTGCGAGTAGACTTCGACCGGCCTCCGCGCCCCACAGCACGTTGATGCACAGCCTCAGGTTGTGGCTGCGGCCCGGAGTGCACAGCGACTGAAGCGCGCCGAGCAGCGCCAGCATCAGCTCAGAGTTCTGGGAGAGGTTGTTATCGATGCACAGCGCTTCCACGCAGGAGCGCCCCGAGGAAGCCAGGGCCGAGACGACCTCGACGGCGTTGGTGAGGTCGGAAGAGCCGTGGACGTGGACGGCGCGCAGCTGGTGCGCGCGGCGGAAGAACGCGGCGGCCGCCTCGACGACGCCCCTCACCGACGAGCTCACGGCCTCCTCCGGGGCCGCCTGGTTGCCGTCCAAGAGGAGGATGACCTTGCGCAGGGACGCGCACGCCACCAGGGCGTCCATGCCGGGGAGCATCGGGCACTTGAGCACGGCGAGCAGGGGCAGCCCGGCCAGCAGGAGGGCCGTGGAGCTCGAGCTCGACCAGGACGGGAAGCAGTACGAGGAGAGGCTCACCTCCCGGAGGGTGGCGGCGTGCCCGGCCAGCAGCGAGTCGAGGACGCGCGGCACCGCCGGGGTCAGCTGGCAGGCGAGGCGCCTCAGCGACGCGAGGACGGGGCCGGCGGGCTCGGCGGGGACGTGGTAGTCGTCACAGCCTCCAATCGAAAGGACACGCAAACCAGGCGTCGACGCCAGCGTCTCGAAAAGTGTGGAGGCGTGCGCTTTAGACGCCTCACGGTCGGCATTGCTCGAGCTAACGCGGCTGACGAGGTGAATGTCGATCTCTCGCAGCCGGCCGAGGCCCCGCTGGTGCGCGATGAGTCGGGCCGCGAGCAGGGCCCCTTCACCACCCACTGCGGTGATCGTCAAGCTCCTCGCGGCACACGGGGCGGTGAACAGCTGGTGGCACTCCGGGCAGGAGGCCGAGAGGCTGACCCGCACCGAGTCCAGGCACGGCGCCAGGCGCAGCGCGCGGCAGGACCAGGGGTCGGCGTCGAAGAGATCAGACGCGTCGCCGACGCCTCTGAGCCGCCAAACGTCCCGATGCAGGGCCAGGGCCGCGAACCTCGAGCAAACTAGGCGCAGTTGGAAAACCTCCGGCAGGCTCAGGAGGGACATGACCTGTACCAGGACGTCGTCCGGGAGGAGATCCATCTGTAAGGATGCGACAAGGACTGGTAGTGACTGCCGTGCATGCCTTTTGTACTTTGGGGAAATTTACGTAGGTGCGAGTGTAAAACAATATATACGTAATGAGCGAGGAAATGAGGTAATTCTATTTATCGAAGGGGACGAGAAGTGACATGTAGTTCTTACTTTGGGAGATAAAAAATTTCAGTAAAAAGGAACAGGCGAGGAAGATGGAAAGAGGTGAAGGGGAGGGAGGAGAGGGCGAGGGGGAGGGTGGGGAAGAAGCAACGGACATTTGAAGGAATAGGAACGACGAGACCCTTCCTGGCGTTCATGTCCGTTTATGCACCTGCAGGATCATCTCAGAATCGACGTCATGGGGGCTCCATGAGGTTGATGATGAAATGTCACCCAGGACGACTTTGGAGAGAAGCAAGTTGATGTCGGGTATTGGTTCGTCGACCTCAAAAGATTTAAGGATGAGGCATCCTTCCCACCACAGAACATTCTGTTCCTTACTATAACTTAGGGTTTGGTGATATAAAGCGACAAGAAAAGTCTCCAGTTCGCACCCACCGCCGGCCCAGAGGTGGGCCCAAGCCTGTCTGGTACTATGGACAGGCGCTATGCTAATATTTTTAGACAATCCCCAAGACTTTCTCTACCAGACGGAAAAGCCCTCTTCACTAACTGTCAGCACTTGGACCTGACCATAATAACGGGAGACGGTATAAAACAGATTGTTGCGTAATTTCTGGCATTGAATTTAAAAGTCACCTGAAGTGAAACTTGTGTCAGATGAGTTTCTATAAACAGATCATCCTGACGACAAAAATCACACTGGCAACCCACTTGACAGAGCATTATCATTGGATGAAATGCTTTGCTTATTGCTTTCAGTTCATCCAATTATTTAATACAAGGAGATTTTTAATCTTCACAAATCCACAGAGTGGGTCGAACTTTGATTTACTATCAGCTATGGCATAGATCATCACCGTGAGCCACTTCAACAAATTTTGTATAATAACAACAACATTGCGTAATGTTCTAAAGCAACGATCAGGAAATCATTTGGATGTCACTGTGACGACAAATGTATAGATTACGCCCACATGTAGTCAGTTAGAGGGGGTAATAAAACCGCGTTTATATAAATAGGCTCGTGTGCACAGAAAGTCGAAGATCACAAAAACCGACTCTATGGTCGCTTGTGTCGTATCGAACACCTAAAGTGCATTTTAGGGGTTAGGCGACTGAAGGGCGCGAGGTGTAGGTAAAATCTGCAGACGCGTTTTACTAGCACTAGCGACAAAGAATTATCTGCTTACCGTGGACGCCTTGATGACAGTTTTCACAAAGAACGTGCCCGTAACAGTTCTGACGCAGGTTCAGCTTCACGAAACTCTACGAGACGAGCCGAGCCACTAAACTAGCGAGGGAAGCGGAAGCGGGGGCGGGCAACTGGTTGGTGGGGAGAGGGGGAGGGGGGAGGAGGTGAACAAAACAAGCCTATACTCAGATTTTCAAAATGTTTTTTACCTGCTCCACGTGCTAGTCTGCTCCTAAATCTGACACACGAAGAGACTAACACTTGCTATGTCCTCCGAAATTCTATAAAATTTATTCATTAATAAAATTACAAAAAAGTTTGGAGTTTGCGACGAAAATTTAAGCAATTTGAGAGAACGTTCTTGTTCAGCTCAGGGGGCGCCAGGGGCAGTTTCTGCTTGACGCCTGTAGTCCCTGTGGTTTCAGTTTCGTCAGTTTATTGGGACGGGGGCGAGGTTTGACCTTGGAGGTGACCGTCCCCGACCTGCAAAAATAGGACAAAAATGGCACGCTCAATGGAATATTGAAGCAAAATATTGCTCAGGATATGATTCAGAACGGAGGTGGGGGCCTAGGAAAATTTGACGGATCAATAGGCGAGGGTTAAGGTAAGGAAGGGAGTTCCAGATTTTGGGGGGAAAGGGGGGGGGGTTGCTTTGGTCAAAAACGAATCAAGCCCAATATCATGCACCATTTTTGTCATTGGCTGATGTGATCTTACTTTAGGGTCTTGAAGTCGGTCCCCTCGCACTCCTGGCAGTGCCT